GACATACACTGACATACACTGACATACACTGACATACATTGACATACATTGACATACACTGACATACATTGACATACACTGACATACATTGATATACACTGACAAAAATGCATGCATGAATGCATACATACACACACACACATTCCGCACAGACAAAAGAGCATACATGCACAAAGACATCCATACGTACATAATTACATACATACAAACATTCATGCATACATGCATACATACAAATAAAACTACAGATAAAAGCACAACTACACCTACAAAAGCAAACACGCTCAAGCAGAAAAAACATATGTATTTACGAGAGCATACATACATGAGACTGGATACAAACATACACGACATATACATGCAAACATACAAACGAAAATACACCAAAAAAAGAAACATGAATACAAAAAACTATGTACAGCCATACATACACACATACATGCAAACACAAATACACACACGCATACAAATAGGCACATGCACACACATGCACACACAAATGCATGCACGAATACATACACAAATACATGCGCGAAAAAAACATTACATACACGAATACATACGAATACAAACAACACCTACACATGCATACAACGTTCCTACAAATACGACGAAGTACATACGACATACCTACATACATACAAAATTGTATACATGCATGCATGCATACAGACATACGTATGTACATACATACGCACATACCTGCATACATACGTACACAAATGCATACCTGCGTACCTACCTACCTACCTACCTACCTGCCTGCCTACCTACCTACCTACCTACCTACCTACGTACATACCTACATACCTACCTACATACTACCTACCTACATACACATACCGACATACATACATACATACATACATACACACATACATACATACATAAATACATGCATACATACATACCTACATGCAGACACATCTATCGTTGATGCTTGTGGTCACGTGCTGCCGGCCCTTCCCCACCCCTTGTCCCCGCAGACTCCCCGGCAAGTCAAAGACCCCCCTTCGTGGATGGGGATTTCTGGCCTGGAGGAGTCTAGGTGCTTTTTGCTTGAATTCCCCCACCCAAGTTCTGTGGGTGTGGGTGGGGTTTTCCTTGCTACCGGCTGTGGGTAACGTGGGTGGGGTTGGGTTTGGCTTTAGGGCAAGTGGTTTTGGCTTGAATCACCCCTTCACCTTGCGGAGCCCCCTCTTCATGGATGGGTGGCCATCTATCGAATATATACATACACATATACACATACACATACATGCACATGCACGTGCACAAACATATACCCAGACATATGCATACTCATATACGTCTACATATACGTATACATATACACACATATATATATATATGTATATGCACGTGTGTGTGTGTGCGTGTGCAACTGCATGTGTATGGATATGCATGTGTAGACATATCCGTAGTTATGATATGAATATATATATATATACATACATATATATATACATACATACATACATACATATATATATATACATATATATATACATATATATATACATACATGTACTTATCTGCATATATGCATATATCCGCGTTCCTATATTTCGTTTGCTTGCTTGTTGAACTATATATTTCTAGTTACACATTCCCCAAACACCGTGGTGTATGCTTTGGGGTTCTTACATTCAGAATGAAATAGAATTGGTTGGGGTGGCCGCGCAGCAATCGCTTTTCTGGGCACGCTTCTCCCGCTGTGGAGCGGTGGATGTTGTGGTTTCACCTCCACTTGTTTTCGTAGGATGGGTGGCCGTCGCCGTTCTCCTGAATCTCGCCGGTACATTACAAGGGAAGGAAAACATTTTGCTGGTGGTGCGTGGTCTCCTGCTGGTCTTCTTTAGGTGGTTTCCTGGTGGTCTCCTAGCGGTCGGTGGTTTCGGTCGGTGGGCTCCTGGTGGTCTCTGTCATGGTTTTGTGGGGGCCCTCTATGCTAAAGAAACATAGCTCGACTGTACATGACATGGCCTCGACTTTCGTTTCCTCGGACAGGAGAGGCACCTTCTCTGGGTCGGGAGCCTCCATTGCCATAGCTGCTTGGCACGGTGCCACTTCGTTTTGAAGCAGATGCTAGCTGCAACTCTAGCTTGAGCAAGTCAGCTAGTCTGCAGCGGGGAACTTGCAGAGTGCACGACTCGACGCATCACTCAAAACAACTGAAGTTGCAGACTTGCAAGGTAATCCGGGCTTGGTCCTCCACATCGGGCTGACCGGGCGCAGGGAACATGTCTGACCGCAAAGCGAAACCTGGAAGCAAATGCGAATGCTGGTTGATTTCCTAATTCAGCCGGAAGGGCAGCTGGCGTTCGGCATTGCGAAGCTCTTCGGGCACCTGCGGGTTCGTGCAAACACTAATCCTGTTTAAGATTCAGGTGAGCCTTCAATTTTAGCTTGCCTCCTCCCAGGAAGTAAACCACGGGCCGCCGCGCTGCGGGGCAGGCACGACCCAGTTGGCCATTCCAGTGGACTCAGGCAAAGCTGTCAGGAGTCAGGTAGGGATTCCAGACTTCGGACAAGCTCTTCAAAGCAAGAACTGAAACCACAGTATCTGTCCATGATCCCCAATGCTGTGACGCACATGTTTGACCCAACACGCTCTGCTGGACTTAGAGTCCGTGGTGTCTGCGCTTTTGCTGCCTTGCGTCGGATTTCTCTTTTTCGTTGAGCATGTTGAACAAACATACAGCTCGCCAAAATCCGTAGTAGCATGACAGCTGCACATGCTCACCTTAGCATACCTAGTATCCCTACCGTTTCTGTCACTCCAGTATCCATGTAGTTGCTGCGCCGTTCCTGCTGGTGCTGGAGAAACAACTGGTGCTACTCATTGCTGTACAGGTTACTGCTAACTGCTATCCGTGCCTTGCCACTATCCACCACGACGTGTGCTAAAATGCCACGATTTTATCCTATCAGTGCTGATATCCACGGTCACATACCACAACGAGGTGCCACATGCAGCAGTGAGCATTGAAGAGTAGGTACCCGCAAGACTTCGCGATCATTACTGGATGATAGTTGATAGGCGAGCGAGAGAGAGAGAGAGAGAGACTAAGCCTGCGGAAGTTGTGGCAACTAAAGTAACAGGCAGGCAGGACACGAGAGTACGCAGTCGAAACTAGTGGGACATCTTACTACGCAGCCAGAACCAGGCCTGACTGTGTATCGTACATCCAAGCATGTATCAGTGCAGGCGAAGCGCAGCTACAGGTACTCAAGGGCACGAAGCCGGAGGAATGGGGTACAAGATGAACTTGCATCAGACACAAAACACACTTGCAAAACACGACGTGAAGAAAAACTGTCGCAAACGATGGCTAGCGGCAGCAAAAAGAAAAATCAGGAAATGACTGCGACAAAAGAAAGCCACATCAATCGGCTGGCTCTGCGATCGGAGCGGCAAAACCGAAGTCTGTTACATCCTGCTCGGAAACTCTACGACATTCCTGCACAACAAACACACAGGGCGGCCATGAGGCAGGTCGTAAACCACATTTTTCCTTGACCATCACCTGCCATCGCAATGGGTTGTAGCGGCAGTGCCTGGCAACAGTCTCCAGCACTCAAGCCAGTCGCCTTGGCATCGAGCAGCGACACAGGCAGCTTGGCATTCCCTGAAAAGCACAAATCCAGAAACTCTCGACTGTCGAACATCACAGCAGCAGACGATGTCTCACCGGCTCTGCTTCCATGGTTCTTGCACTTGGTACTTTGCTCAACCCGTCAGCACTGGCCTTTGGAATGTAGGCTTGCATTCCATCGTCGCAAACAGCTCAACACCACAGCCTGCTGTGCAGAAGCCCGGCCACAACTAGTCTGACGAGACAGTGCTTGGCGGCTGTGGAAGCCTCATTTTCCAGAGGATTCAGGGAGCACGTAGAGTACACAAGTGTGCCTCGCATGAACGGTTTTGCAGCTGACTCGGCGCAATCGCTGCCCTGTCGAGTTCCTTTCTTGACTTGGCCGGCCTTTCGGTGGCAACAAGTACAAGCCCCGAAGCAAGATGCGACGCTGCAGCGATGACAACTCCAATGCTTCACGGCGCGACCATCCGCGAAAGACCTGACCCAAACTGAACCATCCAAGTCGGTTCGGCAGGCGAATTCAGGAATGCACTTCTGGGCAAGAGACCTGTGTGTTCTTGCGGGCTGTGCCATCGCCACTGCATGGCACATCTGCAAGAATCTTAGCTGCGATCACCGAGCAACTTGCAGCAAATCCAAGACGAGCATGCGTTCAGAAGCATTCGGCTTTTTGTTTAGCCACGGCGCTGAACCTTGCTTTCCAACAGCACGCATCCAATCTAAACATGCAACCGTGACGCGCGGTCAAAATCGAGCCGACCGGACCCAGAATCAACCAAGTCGGCGTCCACTTGATCCTGCGAGTACGTGCTTCCACCAGCATGCACAGGAAGCAACATGGACTGGAAGCAAACTCAGGGCAACGATCCAGAAGCACTGGAAAATGCCCGGCATTCGCCAACGCTGCGCAAGAAGCGGGCGAAGCAGCTTTTCCCAACACACGATGAAGTGTGAGGCAACACCTAGTACACAGATAAGCTCTATGCTTTTGAGCTCAATTCACAGCCGACCACATAAGGCGACGACCTTTGTGGGTCGTTGTCCGCGGACCTCGAATGCCATCTCTGCATGTGCTTGGAACCTGCTGCAAGGTCGGTTTCCTTAGGTCATCGCAGCACAGCGCCTTCGACATCAGCTTTGGATGCCAAAGACTCCAACAATTGCAGGGACTTGTTCCTGAAAGCCACTCTCTCGCAAACTGAAGTCGATAAGTTTCCGCTTGCAGCGATAAATCAGTGAAAAGTATGGGGCCATCAAGCCTGCGCATTATGGGTGGGGACAGTATAGGAGATGTAGCAGAGATCCCAACAGAGGCGAACGACCGCTGGCTGGCTGAGCTCTTTTGACAAGAACTGTCGGACTGTCGACCTAGCAAACATGCATTGGTGCTGACCCCCGAGGCTAAACCGGCGGCTTGATTGAGAGCATGAAGCATATTTAAGCATTACAGGAGTAGCACATAAACCCATGTCCGAGGCTCCCGGGAGCAGCACAAAGGTCCAGGCAAACCTGTGAGCTCGAACCGCATTGCACAAATCCCCTGCTGCGATCAAACCGCCTCTTTGGGTTGCGGATCAAGCAATATCGGAGGTATCAGCGAAACCAACTCCTGCAGGAAGCCAGCCGTGGAATGGACATCACAGCAAGGGTGATGCGAGACACAATCCACTCACGATAAGGCCTGAAAGCACAAGCTCCCCAAACGGTTTTCACGTTCAGTCCAGGCTCGAAGCCTTCAGCCATGAAGAATCCCAGGCAAACACAACTTGTCTTTTCTCGGCAAAGCATGGCATAGCGCCTGCCGTCTTGAGAGTACCTCGTTGTGAAAAGGCTAGAAGGTCTGCGAAGCAATGCGTGCTACTGTCCAAATTTCTGAAGCCAAGTTGCACCTCAGAGCTGATTTCCCAAACAGAGAGACCTTGCGTCACACTTGTGAGGGTGAGCTTGCCTCCCCAACCGGTGCAAAGCCAAGTCGCCGGTTCGGTCAAACCTTGGTTGGCACCAGCAGGACATGGGACTTAACTGCGATTCCATCTTGGCCATGCGCTCGGCTCGCCTGTGCCAGCCGAAGGAAGCCAAGCGAGCCTGAAATGTGACAGTGCAAGACCAACACACCAAATAAACTCGCTGGACATACAAGGTGTCTGCGTATGCGGACGCTTGAAAATGCCCCGGCCTCTGTATGCATGCTAGCTGGACTCGAACTGACCTTGAAACAACAGGTCTTTCACGGCCGAACTATGGCTGTGCTGAGAGCTGGAAGCCGACGGCCCTGGGGGACTTGTTCTTTCAGGCCCCAGTGTGAGCGGACCATTCTATCGCTCGCACTTGCGATGCTAACCATGGCCCAACACCCATATATATATATATATTTCAGAAAGATCCAAGACTGTCTTCACCCTCGCTGGCAATGTGAACCGCCCATCGTATCTGCAGCACATCATGCATTGCTTGTATGCATGCTGCTCGAACGGTAACCGGCAAAGCCGACTCCATTGATGACCAAAATTCGGCCTCGAGCAAGTTAAGGCTGCATTGCATCACACGCACGTGTACACATGTTGCATACTGGGGCCTGCTCTGTCGCAAGCACACGACCGTGAAAGAACTGAGCGTTGTAATAGCCTGGACCCAAGCAGGTTCGATGGCAACGCAAATGAGGAGGCGAGGCACATGAGGCGCAAACATCGGAAATCTTCCGCCGCCGTGCCCTGCAACCGACAGTGACATGTCCTAAGAAAGCACAGCATGCATGGACCACGAACCTGCTGGGCATCATCCTGCAAACCACCTCAATAGCAAGCCAATACGAATTCTCGTCAATGTGCACAATGTCACAAATTGGGGCATGCACGACGCTTTTCGCAGAGCCACCGTTTCTGAGCCTAGCAAGTGGTCTTTTCGACTTTCCGAAAGCATGGATCGCATCGTGGCAACCCGCAGCACGAAAGAGGTTGCTTGTCGCTTGGTTCCAACTTTCATCTCACAGAAGCAATACCAAAAACACTCCCAATCTATAGCATGCTGCTTACGCTCACTCCGACTTGCAAGCTGTTCTTTCTGACTTGCGCTTTGCTCTCCTGCTGGGGTTTGCCTGTCCCTGCGCATCGTCTCTTTGCATATGCTGTTCCGCAACAGCGGATCCCATTCTCGACCAGCAATGCAAGCCCAACCATGACACAACAAGTCATCAGCTTCATGCAGCTGTTGCGACTTATTCTTGCGACATCCTTCTAAGCTCATCAGAGCACAGACGGTTCAGAGGATTGAGATTACCACCATTTAAGATGAAAGCGACTGTTGTTTCGTAGATGATCCTTACCAGATCTGTTTCTTTGCATTTGCGACTTTCTTCTGCTCCTTCTTTCCGTCCTTCCTTCCCATCTTGACACCAAGCCGGTGCTGCACCTCTTTGTCTCGCCGATGGCGCTCATGGCGTGCCCGTGTCATGCTACCCAATTCAAAACGAATCGATAGTCGTGCGGCTACGGAATCTTGTCAACTACATCATTCTGCGGAGTTGTTGCTTGAGCCAATACAGTAACACCCGAAACTTCCATTTCGTAAGTATTCTATCTCGCAATATTTCTCCAGTCCGTAGCCTGCAGCCTGTGAAGACAGCCTCAACAGCACAGTTGTGCATGTTATGCCCGATTGAAAAGTCCACGAGAAACAACAAATGCAGCGTAAGCCTCCACAACAGGGCAAGCTGCGAGATAGTATGATGCCGAACCAGCGAGGCTTTTTGGCGGCAGGCCCATAAGGTCATTCCCTCGCGATTGGGTGGAAACCTCTTTGGGTTCAGCCCCGCATGAGAACATGCATGCAGCAAAGGAATCGCTCACGCGTTGCTTCAGTTGAAGCAACTGGAAGCCTTGCATACAGTAACGAAACTGGCTGCAAAGTTTCGCAAACACATCAAGTGACATGCTTCGTTGGACAAGACACGAAATGCGCGATGTGTCATTCACTGCCACGATGTGTCATTCATTCAGTTGAACCGGAACAAAGTCTTGCACGACACTCAGAGACAAGCACTGTGGAGCAATGGAAGAAGAGATTAAGAGAGAGAGAGAGAGAGAGAATGCTGGCAAAACGGAAGAGCATATACCCCGGCAAGGGTACGGGCACGTGCCAGCTCTGAAGCCAAAGCTCCACGTAGGGCAAAGCATTCGAGGCAGCAGTCGCGGCAGCAGCAAGAAGTTGGTGTAGGAAACCATACGGAAAGGCACGCAAGCATGGAGATGAGCGAAGGCTTGGGGACTGGCATAACGAATACACTACAATCACGAGTTCAGACATAGTGTGACTGCGAAGGGGCAGATTCTCGACTGCAGCACAGGGTCTGCCGTTTGAGGAGAAGAAACCGAAAGGGTGGGAGAAAGATTCTAGTCCTGTAGGGCCCAAAAAATCTACTTTGCGGTGGTCTCCGGGAATGAAGAGCTGCTTCGCTGCAACGCCTTCCGAGCTTTGGAACAAAAGTGCGGCCACCCCTCGCAGAATTCAGAGGTCAAAGTTACCAGACCCACCGACATCCCCTTCCCCGACGCCGGTGGTGCAATATAGTGTGTAGCAGTCAAGCAGGCATCGAAACGGATGCTTTAAGACATTGCAGCAAACAGAAATCGCTTGAGAAACCCACTTGCAGCACCAGAGTCTTGCAACTTATTTGCACAAACGCACCCCACCCTCCCCCCCCTCCCCAGCAATTCGCCTTTGTTTTATCAATGCCTGTACATGTCTTTTTTGGCACCCCTTGCACCTTGACTTCAAGGCTGGTGCTTGCTGTTGCGGCCATTGGGGACCCACTTGTTCTGGGTCAAGATCCCTGCATAGGCGCTGAATGCTTCTATTGCAGCTGGCAGCAGAATTGAAAACTTGAGCACGAACTAGACGGTCCTCGAGGCCCCAATGATCCAATGTAACAGTTCATTCTTTCTGGTTCACTAGTATAGATGTCAGACCTATATAGGTTTTGACATTAAAGGCCAGGCACCTGCTGCCACAGCAACGCCAAAACTACCTAACGATGAACAGGCGCCTTTGCACCCACATGCTGTAGCTAGACGAAAATAGCTGTGCTGTCGAGCGCGTGCGCGCCAACGTCGGCTTCTCTGGCCCGGCGGTTTGCGTTTAGACAGGACAGAATGACAGTCTTCTCGCACCACAAGTGACTTGTCCCCACCGCACGAGCAACCAGTGTCCCGACGGCTCCAGAACTGAGCACAGCTCAGCAAACTATCGGAAATCGTAAACCCACTACTCCGTAGGCCTCACGAAAGGGATGCACATGCTGCTGCCTCAGTCGCAGGTTCACGTTCTCAAGCCTGTGCCTGCAGGCCGTCACGCAAGCGTTTCGTTGCACGAACAGCCCAAAGCCAAGTGCAGACCGGGAGCCCTCACTTCGTCAGGACTGCTCTTTGCCAATTAGCAAAGACTTCCTGCAGTAGTGTTCGGACCTCTACCTGTGCCGGGAGATATGGGAGAAAGGCTGTTGCCTTCAGCATAGTTAACAGCCAACGCCTCGTACTCCCGCTCAGCCATCTCTAAGGCTGCGAAATTGAATGAAAAGTCGACGGCCAACGGACGAAATTTTTGCTCGGGCCAATCATCTGGACCTGCACAGCTTGCAGATTTTCTGCGAGGCCGTGCCCGCTGCTGGCATCATGACTGCAAGTCTAGGTGCCGAGATTCCAATTGCCAGTCTCTCGGGGCTGTTACAACAATCTGGCTCTACGTTTCGCGCACGTCTGTGCGAAGCTTCAGGGATGCCGTGGAAGCTCGCGACTTTTGTGACGTTTTGTAGCCAGGCCAGAGAGGGTAAACACCGGGGTTCTGATGCTTGAAGCAGATTATCATGATGTGGTATAGGATTCGAAACTTTGCTCGAGTGAACCACCATTCAACATCTGCTCAAAAATCAGCGCTTGGAGGGGGCTCGGCGAAACCCTGCGATCTTGAAGACACCGCTGCGCTCCCTAAGCCCTTGTGACCAAAGGCCCCCTTACAAGCCTTACAACTTTCGAACGGTGCTTCCCGAAAACACTGAGGTCTGCGCAAAGCTCGCGATCTTCAGGGGCGTGCCCTGACCAGTTCGACAGACAGACGTGTGTGTTGCACACAATCTCTTCTTCACTCTGCGTCAGTCCGGATTGCCGAGTCTTCGCTTCGTTTCGTCTATCTCTCTTTAGGCATCGGCGCATCCACTCGTCCGTGTGTCTGGGTGGGTATGCGTGGCTCTGTTTTGGCCTCTGTCTGTGAGGCTCTGTGCATCTGTAGGCATCGAAGGAGGAGGATCCCACCGCAAACGAACTGGATCTTGAAGATGGGCTGGCAAGTGTTGCCGCCATGGTTCTCCCATTCCCCCGATCGGCCGGCAACGTGTTGTCATCAAGATGTCCGGCGACGTGTCGTGCTGATGATGCGTGCGTGTTCATAGAATGCCGACATGGCAGGGAATATGCCCCATGGGACTGGATAGGCAATCCGGTGGCATGTCACTGGGCCTGCGTCAATGTCGTCGAAGCTGGTGTCTCCGGAGGTCTGCAACAGGGAGCTCTTTCTCTCTGCCGCATGACACGAGTGCAAGAAGCACGTGCTCCATCTTCATATATTAACATTCCACCTGACGAGAGAAGCTTCTTCGAGGAGGCGGGGGCGTGCGCAATGCTGCCAGAGATCTGGCAAGGCGCAGTTTTTCGCCTTGCTCTAGCGCACTCCAGTTGCACAGGGGAACTCAGGCACTGCCTATACAAAGTGCTGGGTTTCAGGGTTTGAGACTTACCGTTCGGACAATCCGTTGACATGGGTGGGATTCAGGGATCAGATTTGGGCCTTTCGACTCTCACACTCGCGCAAGGCAGGCAAGGATCCACATGTCGAGGTCCAATCAAGTGCTTGACTGACAACCACCACTTGGACAATTTAGGGCTCGCCGTAAAGGGCTAATCGGCTCATCGAGGGCCCTTCTCGGATCGAACTCGAAGCCAGCGCACTTTCCAACACAATGTGCCCGGCTGCAATTGCTGAGCCGTCACACCGGATATTCTAGAGATATACACTGAATCCGGCATATTCCTGGCTTTTGTTGTAAACATAAACGCGAAGCTGCATTTCCTGTTTCTCTCAATGGAGTCAAGATACGGAGAACACATGTTTTCCACGCCACCTCCGCCTGCAACGAGCTCGGAGTCCGGAGTCAAAGGCTGCAAATCGGAGCTCTGGCACATCTGCGACTTGCCGCCTCTGCCCTACCAGAGCCCATCTCCTTCAGTAGCTGAACTGCGGACAGGTATGCGTTCCTTGGCAACAACGACTAGGCTCAGTCCAGCATGGGTCAGATGCAGCTGCTGGGCCTACTTGTGAGCTAAGGCGCTCCTCCTCTTCTAACTGAAATGCTTCAGCCTTCTGCGCGGGCGACTCACTGTTCCTTGGAGACAGATCGTAGCTGGTACCTCCAGGCTTCGACGGTCAGAGGACATCCCTTGACAAGCCGGACTGTTTCAGGAAGGAATATACGATCTGGCATGTTGCAGTGGGACTTTCACGAATACACGACATCGCACTTCTGACAACCGGCCTGAACAGCAAAAACGACACGCAAGCAGATTGCATGTCAACAGCTTAACCCCAAGGCCTGCCACACAATTCGATGCAGAACCCGGCGACTTTGTTATTCTCTTGGGGCGGTCGGTCCAGCTCTCGAACTCGTCCTCAATAGCCTTAGACTTGAAATCAACATGACCTTGCTTCGTGCACAACAGAGCCCAACCTGCGTTCAAAGCAACGAAGCCACTGCTTCGCTCGCCTCTAGGCGTGCCAAGCTCGAAAGCATCTGGTTCTGCATCAAGTGGCCCCGGACCTTCAGCTGTACTTCTCTCACTGCAAATGCAACTTGCACGACTGCCACTGCCAGCTGACCCAAAGGGGCAGGCATCCTGTCCTGTTCCTGCAAAAACAAGCCCACCTACCTTTCGAATGTTGCCGTCTGCACCTTCTCGCCACCAGCGCGTCAACTCCCACTCTTCTGGAGTCATGGCGCGGCTCGGACGATACGAAAACTACGGTTAATGACTAAGCGATTAAGCACGACACAAGTTGAGACTGGACGGTGTTACTCATGGAACCCGTGAATAAATTGCAAACACTGTCTCTGGAGCAAATGGCGAATGTTTCTGTCGTGCCTGAGACGTGTCACGGCCCACGGCAGTCCAACACCGAGCTCCGGGCCCGGGCCCAAGGAAGTTCTTCCAGGATCGGTCCGGCAGGACTGTGCCGGACAAGGTGCAGAGAAGCATCGTTGTGGCACATGGCCCTGGCAGCACTGTGGAGTTTGAGAGAAGGCAAGGTTAATGGCACAAATTATGCAAAAAGATACCATTACAAATATGTATGCTCGAGTGAGTAGGTGTTTGGGCGGACGGGCGGGCGCGCGGGCGGGCGAGGCGGGCAGGCGGGCGGATTGTTTGTTTGCTTATTTGTAATCTACTTGTCTGCCTGCCTAACTAGCTTGAGGGCACACCCCCCCGAAGGACGCCTGCTGGTTGGCTGTCCGTCTGTCTGTCTCTGTCTGCTTATATACGATATAGCAACAGTAGTGCAGGAAAGGTGAACACGCAAGCCGGCTCGATGAATTGGACAGATTGAAGATTCTGAGGCCATGACTGGTAAGCTTGCTCTAGTTGCAGTTGCCCCTTGAAGGCACCGATCTCCAAGTCCCATGAATCCAGGAAGTGTCCACCTTCATCGACTACTCAACATGCTTCTTCTGACCTCCTCCAGTCGATGCAGCCGAATATCACGGCAAGTGTTTGTGTCGCGTTGCATTGTACAAGTGGCTGCCGTGCCCTTACAAGGCCACTTCCTCTGAGGATTCGGAGCACTCTTCGGTCACGGATGTTTTTCGAGGGACACGATGCACAGTACTTCGATGATACAAGTACGGAAGCTTCGAGCAATTCCATCTTAAAGACGAGCAGATATGAAGCTTTCCAGGTTGCGGCCCATGTGCAGCCAGGTCACCATGAAGGACGACGAGGCTTTTGCCTGTCGCACAGTCAACCGTCAACCCAACATGTGCTCAGAGGTTCAGGCAGGGAATGTCAGGTATATCAGTTAGTGCTCAAACAAACCTCTCCATTCCCCAGTGCCAACGGGTCCCATGGCGCCTTCCGCACTTAGCTGCAGCGCCTGTACATCGATGTAGCCGCCAGCCACGTGTCTGCTGCACGTCTCTTTGCCTGCATGGCAAAGGCCTTGCAAGGGCTTCGCTGGCGATACCATTGTAATTTCGACAAATCCAAAAACCCCGCCTGCACCAGGCCTCACCTGACCAGCAATCCAGGATCTTGCAACCTACCGTTTTAAAACTGGCTCTCTGTTGTCCCGACCTTGAAGCTTTGCTCAAGGTGCCAAGGACGTCCAGGACTTCCCTTAGCTGTGAGCTGAAATTTATCGATCTTGCAATCCTTGTACATCATATCACGTAAAGGCTCCAAGATTATGTCGCCAAGTATCTCTCCAGAGTTTGGCGGCAATGATGCTGCTGCCATCCCATCCTGTGTTGGAGACTGCTACCACCCCACTGGCATTTCAAGCATCCTGCAAAACTCACCTGCCAGCCAAACCAATCCACTCTCCGCCCAGACAGCAGAGACCAGGCGCCAGGTTTCAGGAACTGCGACCTGAACATTCTTTCTCTCCCAATCAAAAGGGCTGCCCAGTCAAGAACAGCTCCGCTCGAAAAACACAAGCCGTCGCTGACACACACGGAAAATTAGGATTGGTTTGATTTATGCGAAGACCAGAGCTGACGCCCAAGACGTACGGTCTACACGTCAGCACCTTTCGACATGTGGCCTCATGCGCAGCAATGTCCAAGAAAAAGAGCGTAAAATGCACAGCCTTGAACCTAATCCTGCTTTCTTAAACCACAACGACTGGCCTCTACCTGATGTCAGACTGCGTCAAACATGCAACGGTTGTTCCAGTGCAGTTCACGGGTATGTTCTGCACAGTCTGATAGTCGTATTGGGGTCCTCGGCTTAGCCCCAGCCATCCAGACATCGCGCAGTTCAATAGATATAAATTTGAGATTTATTTTTAAATATAATATAAATAAAACAACTCAGCCGGGTGATCAACCATATACAGCCGCTACTACCAGGATGTCACAAGCAATGTCCGAAGGTACGTGGATTGAGCGTCCCCAATCCATATCACGACAAACTGGAAAGGTCTTCGTTGGGCAGTGCCTTCCAGAATGTCCACTGCCCCCCTGCTGTTCCTTCTGTAGAACAGGCTTCCGTTGTCTGTACATGTGTAGCAAGCGTGAGGTGGCCATTCCCAGTGTGATGGTCGGGCGGATGGCAGGCAGTGAGCATTCAGGGCGGCAACATGATCATCAAGATCATGAGCATCAGTGGCGGCATTGTTCATGAACCATTTCGAAACCCCTCCCAAGCGGGTCCCCACGCTTTGCGGCACATCAGTGGCAACATATTTGGTCATTAGGTCGGTGGGGTTCTGCGTGCCTTCAATCTCGGCCATTCTGAGCAAACCCATTTGCACAAGATCCTGCACATACTGGAACCTCAGTTCCAGATGCCTTGTCTTCTTGCCAGTGCCACAGAGGGTTGCCATTGGCTTGTGGGCAGTCGAGCCTGTGTGGGCAAACACACTGACTTTCTTCGCCAACTTAGCTTCAAGCAACGTTGACCTAAGGAACAGTGCCTCAGACACTCCTTGGCCAATCGCATACAACTCCGATTCGCCAGACGACAAGGCCATTGCGCCCTTGAGTCCTTGCAGTGCTCACCATGTTGCACCGAAGGACATTCACAGTGGATCAGACAACTGGTGAGATGGACGCAGTATTAAGACACCCATTCTAGTATCCATCCGCCTTAGCGACACATCCCGGCGCAGCTCAATTGTCGCACTGGCAACGTCACCTCTGATCAGTGCCAACCACAACAGTTTGCCAACCACAGTCCTATAAACAAAGTGCTCTTCAGGACTCAGCGGTGTGTCAGGCACAGTCTTGACCATCGTCACGGCACCAGTCGTCGCAACAGGCTTGCCATTCTCCATGCCATACAGATCAACAATCGAATCAATGCATGTTTGCGCAGGCACACATCAATCGAGTCTCCATTGTGTCTTAGCTTTCTTCCAAGGAAAGCGTGCTTAGTCCCTGGCACCAGCCACTAGTTGGCCAGCCTCTTTCAGCAACACTCAAACAGTTGAGACATGAACGATTTCCTCATTTCGTCAGTCTTCAGTCCCTATGACCAACAGATCAACGACATACGCAAGCACATACAGTTTGCCAGATTCGTGGCTGTTCTTGCCACAGTTTGGGAACCTGTCTTAGGCCGTATCTTCAGTTTCCAGAGCCATTTGCCATCTGGATAGAATTCCTTCGGCGGCCAAACAAACAAGTAAGGCTGTCCTTCATCATTCCTTTCGTCACTGCCGCAGGAGGGAGTTCACTCTCCCATAGCAGTGGCTCTGAGAGCCACATTTCTTGGTCGAGTTCTCCTTCCTCGGCATTCACTTCGACATCAATCCTCGTACCATCCTTTCCAACGACCTCGTCAACTCCAACAATCGAAGCAAACCATTTGCAAGCGAGAATCACTCCTGCAACCATGTGCTGAACTGCAGAAATTCTCATTTGCTTACTTGAAGGCTCACTCGCAAGAGCATCAGGATCAATCCTGGCGCTCTTCCGGAGTGCTTCGTCACTCACCCCCGGGGTCTCGTGCTCAATCGCAGTGGGCGCACGATCCGTGCCATCATTGTCAAGCAGATCTTTTGCAGTCACACTCTCTCACTCGGACCAAAGACCGGGTCTTCAAGTGTGTCTTTCTCATGAGGTTCATCTTCTTCATCGACACGTTCCAATCCAGGAGGTGGCTTCACTCTGCCTTTCACTCCAAGATCAGGTGGCATTATAAAGGCAGTCGAATCCACTCCATCTCCTTCAGCTTGCCACGGCAAGGATGCCTTTTTGATGACGCCGGTGGAATTCCACTGTTGAGACGGAGGTCTCCGATTCACGGTTCACAGTTTCGCACCTTTAAGACATCATTTGCATTCCCAAGGATAACCTCATCGGCTTCAGTGCTCTTTCCAAGGTACACTCCAGAGAACCATTGACGTCTTCCTTTGGAGGATCTTCGTTTTCTTGCTGCACGGCAACTTCGCATCAACCCATTCGCGAAACATGCACACTGATCCACCGTAGTCACGCAACCACCTTCGGTTCTAGGCAGTGTTGCCATCAGATCCAATTGGCATCAGGTTAGTCGAATCCTCAACCTGAGCCGTCAATGTTCTCAGTTGCCCATAGAGGGTTCTCTGGGCATTACCAACACTTCCTTGGCTCCGGGAATGTCCAGTCGGTGCTGCACTTAGACAATCCTCCGCCAGTCTTGCGCACATCCTTGGACAGCTAGTCTTCACGTCCGTGCAATTCAAGATGGCAGGTCATTCTCCATCGCCAAGAAAGAGACATCACTCTGGATCACAGGTTGCCCGTCATTTTTCTTAGTCGCATGCTTTTCGCGACCTTTCGACTTCACACAATGTTCACACAAGTCCCTGTAGGGCGGGTGTGTCAATTCGTGCAATCGCCGTTCACTCTCTGAAGGTTCGCCAGGAACCTTCAACATGTTTCGGCTTTAAAACCTTACAGCACTCCTGTCCTCAGGCTCTTGTTCCGTGTTTTTGCCAGCAGTCGAACGATCCAGGGGAACAAACAATGTATAGCCGACCCACTCGTGACGAGTGGGACCTTGAGGGTTCTCACACTTCTTCACTGAACCATTGGACATCTCGAGATGTCTGCCCATTTTGATGGCCGGTATCGATCATTGCTGGACCACCTGAGTCGAAGCACATTGTGTACCTGTCACCCCACAAGCATTCACTGAACAATCCATTAACAGGAGAAGAAGCATCATCAGGGTGCCACTCGTGATGCATTCTTATCCAGTATCGAGGGAGCAACAGCTATCGATCTACAGTCCTCTCTCAGTCTCAGGATCCTCAAGATTGAACAGTCGAAGAAGCAACTCCTTCATCTTCGACCCATGTTGTGGCAGCGAACGCATGGCATTGTAAAGCTCACTCGCATTTGCTGATCCAGGTTGTCTGGCTCTTCATTCGCCTTCTCACGCTTTTATTCGCCAGTGGCTCAGCTGGTGCCATTTCAGCAATATCGGCATTCGCCGGCTCGGGCTCAGATTTACCAATCTGACGGTCATATGGACGAGGTTCACTCTTCGTCACATGACTTGTGCTTCAGTCCAAATTCCACTCGTCCTCTCCACTCCTTAGGACCATGTGGCCTCGTATTCGCTAGTGTGAGAAAATTCGCACCCCTGACAATGACAGTCGACCCATCTATATAATTCTTGCAGGTCACTCCTTTCGCCAGTCAACCTCGACGTTTGTACCGGCGACGCATTCGCCGGCTTGATCCTGGATCAAGCATTTCCCTTCGCCACATTTTCACATGCCTTATCAGCCTCATGCACTTCCCATGTGTCCCAACAAGAACCATCTGATTCCTTCATTCCCTGTGCCACTGCAATCAGGGCACCGATTTGAAACAGATGGTCAATCGAGCTGTCATGCGGACACTCTGCGCAACTCAATCGATCCAATGTCACGCTACATTTCCGACATTACCTCAGGAAGACAACTCGCTGCCAGTCGCGCCGAATCTGCCAAGGCATACGGTATGACAGCCGGCTCAAACACACCCGTGTTCCTTGACGCACAATCGCGATGGGATTTCCACACCCACACCCACACCCACACAGTCAGGTCAATCAAAAGCCAAATAGTCTTTCATCGTCCGAAAGCCCTGCAACAGCAGTCTTGCTACACTCACCAGTGGGAATCGTATCCCAACGCACACGTAGAATTGCACATTCAACGAGTGGCCACTGTCACAATCAAGCTGTACAATCTTTCTATCTTGTACATCCAGTGTCTCTCCAGACAAGCTTCGCCGGTGAAACCATTCTGGACAACATCTCGCGCAAGCTCCACTCCGGCTTGCAAGTGAAACTCCACCATTCAATGTTCAAAACCCATTGTATCAAGCTGTGAAACATTCATGTAGCGGCAGCAACTGTCGAAACTCAGGATCAGAATGCCATCCAACCCGTCAGGACTGTCCGAGGTGCCAAGCCTGGACTGATGACGAATATGTCTGTTGGAGCATGCCTTTTGATTGCTGAGTGCTGGAGTGCCACCGGTCACCTCGAGTCCGTGGCGGTTCAGTCTTACCGGGGTCCTGAGGGACATTACCCTGAAATCCGGACGCAGCAGTGGAACTAGGTTGTTGCCCATTCCACCAATCTTCCGTGTTCCAGGACTAGTCATCGGACCAATGACTCCAGTCGTCATCAGACCAAGACCAGTCACGAGACAAATCATCAAGCGAACCGATCTACTCTTGATTCCAGTCGTGGTCATCCCAAGACGACCAATCATCATAGTACCGCCGCCATCTTGACTCCATTCATGATTCCATTTACCTTGCTGTATTCCTGCTGAACCTCCTCTTCAGCCACCGCTGACCTTCTACCTTGTCCTCCTTTCGGGCATTCTTTTTGCTCCATTGGTTTGGGTTGAGCCACCACACAGAAAACATCCTCGTCCTTTTCCTTTCATCCCTTTTCCGTTTCCTTTGTATCCTTTGCTCTTTCCTTTTCCTTTGCTCTTGTACATTCCTTTGCCTCTGTATCCTTTGCCTTTCCTTTGTACATTCTTTTGTCGTTCATTCCAGTTCTTTTCCATCCCGTCTTTCCTTTCAGTGCTCCTATGTCCTTGTCGGCTTGGCCTGGGTGGCCACTCCTGCCACTCGGCGCTGTCACGTGTCTGCTCTTTATGGTAAACACTCCCAAGCACCTCAATGAACATCGCGATGCTTCTATTCGAACATTCAACCGCAAGTGAAGTGCTGCTGCAATGGGCCAACAGTCGTCTGCATTAGCAACATGATCGAGAGGTCATTGTCCAGTGGTCTACCAGTCGTCTTCTCATGTTTTTTCTTCAACATCATGAAATACTCAATTCACTCTTAACAGAACCATTCCTAAGCCTAAAGCCAATGATCTCATTCACAAGATGCGTGGCTCGAGCTCTCTCGGGCAGTGAAAACTGCTTGTGCAATCGGCGCCAAATCTCAAAGCCATTCTCTGTGTCCTCATTTCGAACACGCACCCTGGCGGCTCCATCACTGAAGTGCGCCAACATGTATGCCAACTGTTTCGGGAACACTGACAGTTGGCTATTCTGCGTCCTAGTCTGCTGCACATCAAACGCCCCGCACAAGTCGTCATCAATCATCACAACCGATCCTTCCACGTCCGACATATCATAACCCGTCTTCCCATTTGCACAGTTCACCGTGGTACGCTGGAGGCGGGAACAGTTTGATTTCACCACAAATTCCTCTCACTCCAAAGTCCATTCTCTCACTCCCTGGTTCTGCCGCCGCAGCTCCGCTACCATGTCAAAGTCAGAGACACCATCTACACAGTCACAACCAACCGAGATCAGTCACTTGCCCCGGTGATACACGCTCACGCAGACATTCCTTTGTGCGACCAAGCCAGTCCTTGTCCAGTCTTGAGCCAATGCCATTCGGCATCATAGCATTTACAAATGCATCATGAACATTTGGGGGTTACATTGTGATCGTGTCATTTAACAGAGAGAGCGAGAGAGCGAAAGAGCGAGAGCGCGATCGTACGCGCTGAAATCCTGTAAAAGCTCGCCTCTGCGTTGCACCGCCACCAGCAGATATTCTCCGGCCGGCCCGGCAACAAGCATTGGGGAGGCCCCGCTTATGGCTGTATTCTGTTGAAACGAAACGTACTCAATACCTTGTTTTGTCGTTGCTGCATGCAAAAAAACGAAGCATTGCCCCGATTCCCTGATTCCTGCACAAGATAGACCTGTCGACGTACAACACTTACTTTTGCATGTATCGCTTGGCAAAGGCAAAAGATCAACAAAAATGTTTGAAGAAAAATCGCCCGCATGGCTTATGACTTATCACAGCAGTTGATCTCAAGTCTTTTGATATGACGACTTATGACCAAGACCGAAGAGAGCGAGAGAGCGCGATCAGAACAGCAACGAAGCCCCAGAAGCCAGAAGGCTATGTGAGGGCCAGGGGTCCACAGAGCCGGGAAGCCAACAAACTACACAAGCCATGGACGCCTTCAGCGGCTAGGAAGCCCTGAGCAACAAAACAGGAAGCCAAGGAGTCAGAAAGCCACAGGCTGGAAGCCAAGAAGCCAACCGACCGCCTAGTCTTGCAGCCCAGCTTTCTAATTGGTTGGTCCAAGTTCCTGGTCTCGGATACTTCCCAATGACAAAACAGTCACAATAGTCTGGTGAACATCCTCGTTGTTGGGTCCACCACGTTCTGTACATGTTGATCGTTCCTTGGCACCCAGATCAAGCCTGTCTACGAACATGTCTGCAAGCAGCTGCAAATAAAACTTTGCGGTGTTGCAGCCCGGACGCAATTCCGAAGAGGCAGTCGCCGACAAGAGTCTGAGACCTTTGTCTTGCAAAATCATGTTTCACGGCACTACGACGCTGAACTCGTCGGGTTGGCAGCACCAGACATATTGAGATTTGGGCTCCAAGGACTGGTCGGAACAGGGCCAGGTAACAGCGCAAAGCATGCGCCAATTTTGCAAAACCTGTGCATCTGGCGTCCAGACACGCACATACTACTGCCTGTGTATGACCCAAGGACAAGCCGAGCATCATCACTGATTCGACTTGTGGCATCTCAAGCCTGGAAGGCATTGCTGACTTAGCTGCCACCGAAAGCAACAGGGTTGAGTTGCTTAGATGTGTAGCACTTTTTGCCCACCTCTTGAGCTCACCTAGTCTCTTGTTCAAGACTTCGGCTTCAAAGGCAGCGAAGCCGTTGTGCATGAAAAGGTGCGAGTTGTTCCTCGAGGATGCTGCGCACAGCGGGCTCGGACGGCAACAGGCACCATAGAACCAAGTACTGCTTGCTCAATGTACGACACAACTGGCAAGTTGCGCACTGCAGTGCAGAGCCTTGACCTTGGAAGGACGTTTGGTTGTGAATGCTGCGTTTGGTCATCGTTTCGCCATCGTTTTATCATGCAAGCACGGCCTCAAAAAAACTCGCTGGCGATGGCCAGTTGCTTTGTATCTCTCCCATCTCGGCATCGATTGCATACCTAAGGCCAAACTGCAAAATTTCAGAGGCTCTCATACTCTGCACTCCGACGGGGGACTGTCCGCGAAGCCGTCGCAGCGGATGGTGCCTCAAGCGGAGCTTACAACTGCAAAATATGAGCATCAGCCAACAGACGTTGTTTGTTTCTTGAAAACGGGAAATGAACGAATTTTGTGTTCCTCTGCACTTGTTTCAACCACAGTGGGCCCGTGTGCATGCCTGGCACTGGGCCCTCGTGGTCGCGGCCGAGCATGGGGCCAAATCGGATTGCTCCCGCCTCGGACACATGCATCAGCCGCTAGCATTTTGCGTCAGCGCTCTTCTGTTGAGCGGTTGAGACTGTAAATCTCGACACACCGGCTCTTCTTGCATTGATTCTGCACTCGGATCTAGGAATTAGGCAGGCAGCTAGTCGTGCAGTTGTCGTCTGAGCAATCGATAATCGCCGCTTGATCGAAACCTCAGCTTTTCTTCTGGTGACACATTTTCTGTGAACAGCTCATGTTCTGCGAAAGAGCCACAACCCATGCCACAGAATCGCTCACACCAAAAGGAAGCAGGGAAGCGAAAGTGCATCCGAACCACCAAAGATCTGGCCGGCCATGTGCATGATCCCACTCTTGGCGACAGCGGAGAACATGGAATGCAGGACAAAGCAAGAAGAAGCACGCCATGTAACCATCTACCCATTCTTCGGTGAGACGATTATCCTGTCCTACAAGTTTCCCGGAACATTCTCTTGGTGTCACGGGGTTCTGCCTTCTCAAGCTTCTCGCTCCAGTGCCACTGCAGGAACTTCCAAAATAAGGTCGGTACCAGGATGTAAAGGACGGCCAGGAAAAAAGTGAAGTTCACAGTGACTTTTCCTGTGAAATTACACAAAGCATGGGAGTTCGTCGCGCTCAGCTTCCACGCCGATCAAGCTAACTGGGATTTGAAGCATACCGTTCAAACTGTCCTGACCGCCACAGGACTAAGCGAAGAATCCGACCATTTTTCAGCGGTGTCCTGGCATCGGGTCCACCTTCGCTTCTCGAAGCTCATTTTCTGGAATCGGGTCCTGCAGCCTGAGGACCGGTGTGAAGGCAAGATGCCAATGGGATAAAAACGGAAAGAATGCGGCAGAACGGATTGGGCAAACTCAGATTTGCTGCCATGGATCTCGATGATGTTGAAGAGCTTGTTCCGCTTCAACCTGGCTCAATGCATTCATCCTCCATGCCACCCACCCACCCACCTGCCCACCCACCCAGGCACGCACGCATGCACCTACTTGCTTGCAATATCACTTCATGCCCCATGCACCTGCATACTTGAAGGTCGCAGCGGTTATCAACTATATACAAAGCCTTTTAAGTGATTAATAGAGTTATCAACAAAGTAAAACTAAATACCTAAATAGGGCTATCATACTTAGGTAAATCGAGGTAGCAAGGTTGACTACGCTTGTGTTAGATAGCTAACTGGGCTAGGTTGCTTCAGGAAGTCGCAAGCATGGGCTGCAAGCTCGCATGCAGGCTTTCGGAGCAGGCACACGACGGCACCGTCGTCCTTGAGACTGACAGGACATGTGTCCCTGATGCATGACCATCGCCACGTCATCGTCGCGGACCCGGAACATTGGGCCATGGACATGTGTCCAGAAAGTAACTTGGATGTAACAACAAGTGCCACCAGCTTCGACGTGATAGCCAACTTTGCATATCAATCTTCTGCCCTCAAACTCGATGAGGCCCACATCCTTGGCGCTCACAGAGAAGTTGCCACAGTGCAAAGCCTGGTTGGACATGACGACGTCCAGCTCTTGCTGCAGCATGTCGCAGACTCCCTCTGCCAGCTTGGAAGGGGCAGCTCGGACATGCTTCACAAGTTGAACTCCATGACATGGCAAACAGGCCTTATCCTGCAGAGCTTTCAAACAAATGCCGTGCAACATCCTGAAGCCTGAAGGATGGACGAAGGTCTGAATTTCATGGTGGTCTTAAGAGTCTTTCTCCTGCTCATGGTGTTGCCAGCTTGCAACGAGACTTGTGAGAAGAACACAGTGTGCAGTTTGACTGGCGATGGTGCGAGCCATCAAAATGCGTTGCTCGAGAGATCGTCTCAGCTGTTGACTTGCAGCGATGCATCAGGGAGCATTTGGACAAACTGAAATCTTGTTGGGGGACGGAGTGGTGGATACCCAAATGCCATCTTGCCCTCCATCTGCCGTTGCAGCTGTCGAAATTCGGCTCCATGCAGTCCTGTTTTGTACATGAGCACAAACACGAGATAGTGAAAAAGCTGGCGAATGCGACCGCCACGAAGTCGAGCAGGCCAGGTGAAACCATGGGCAACTTCGCCGATAGCTTCCTGCATCCACCCGTTTTTGTGAAGTGCACCCAGCATAAAATCCTGTGAGGATGTTGAGGATTCCATTAACCGAGTAAATGTGGAACCAATCAAACATGACACAGTCGATCACTGGCGGGCCAAAAGCAAGGTGTACCAGCAAGCCCTCAGGCTTGAAATTGAATCCGAGGGTTGTCTGGAGCTTCTCGGCTTCGGCTTTCGGTCGCGCTCCTTGCTGGCTCGCCCAAAAACTCATGGCGTCTTGGACGGAAGCTCTGTCTGCTGTCGGAACTTCTGCATGTCCGTTTCCAAACTGCTGATCTGGGTTCCGGAACTGTTCTGCGAAACCAAGCTCATGCTGGTCGACTGCATTTTGACAGGCCACAAAAAAGACCCTTTGTTGCAAAGGGAAGCTTTGATAGCAGCCTCGTCCGAGGTCAGAATTCGGAGGTTCGCATAGGAAAGTTGGGGGCCACCTCCTGCAGCAAAGTTGAGCAGTTGAGCACGAGCCCTGTTCTGAAGTCCGGCCGTTCAAGGAACAGTGGAGCCAGCTGCCGCCAGAACACACTCATTCCCCCGATGGATTTCACCACAGAATGGGCCTAAAGGAATAATACATCGTCTGCATCTTGCGGAAATTTTGGTGCTTTAATTGGTTGCGTGGAGCAACCTTGTCGCCGTACCACGCTCGCCGGGGCACAGCCATGTGTACAGCTTATATCTTGACTTACGTGATATATATCTCGACATAGCCCATATACACAAGTCCAACAACTACAGTGTACATTTAATAACCACCCCGACCCAAAACATGTCAAGCGGCCGATGGGGCAGGAAATCTGTCCCATAGAAACCTCTTCCAGATTGAAGTCGCCGCCTTCGGGTGCACACAGCCTTCTGCAAGCACCCAGGAACCGCAACAGCTGTCAAGATCTTTTGTTTAGGAATGCCTCGCAAGGTCTTCATCTACCTGCTCTGATCCACTCGATGAGCTGTCGGAATCAGACAAATGAGTTTCGGTGTCAAACGCTGGGTGATCACCTTGGCCAAACGCAAACCAACATCGCAGCTTCGCGAGGCGGCAGCGCCCAAATTCGTTTCAATGAGCTGATGTCGTCAACTTCAACACTGACTGGCAAAACACCGGCCGGGTTGCCCGTGTCACTTGCAGGTGTTAGCTGGTGACTCCTCAGCACAGCTGCCAGCGTGCAGAGCAGCTCTTCATGCTGAACAGCAGCGGCCGCTACATCATGAAAAGCAAAGCTAAGGCCTGGACAAGTAGCCCATCCAAACAGCGTGCAGAAGAAACACAGGAAAACAAGCCACTCCTGCAACCGCGCCCAGGTTTTCGACGCTTGTGCTCACACCACTGGGTTTCTGCGTAGGGATCCTTGCAGCCAACCGGGCCACTCAATGCCAGGCACGTAAACGAACAGATACAGCCTCATAGCTCCAGCATCGTAGGTTGTTGCACACTCAGCTTTATGAGCTCCCGTTTTCTCTCCCGATCCCAGCATGCTTGCAAGGGCGACTGCGCGCTAGTTATGCCAAGCGTCGTAGCATAAGTCGGTGGAAGAAGCTCCAGCCTAGCTCGCACGAAAGCATCAAAACCTGCGACTACAGCACACAAAACACACACACACACACACGAACGAACACACGCGCAGAGAAATGCATCTGACCAAGCCACAGCATCACCATAGTGAAACCTGAGAGAGAAAAGAGTTCACTCGCGGAATAACAGTCGATGTGTGTCGCGGTGTGCAGTCCACAGCTGAATTTCCCGCTCGTATCTATGACCATGCTAGAAACAAAGTCCGTGGGAGAGGCACAGGTGGTGCTGTCTACGAACATGACCTGGTCTTCAAACATGTTCACTGGCAATCGTTCACTTCCTGGCCTGGGGAACCCTCTTTTGTCAAGGCGCGGGTCCCCTCACCCGGTCCCTCCATGGGGTCGTGCAGAGGATGTCTGTGAGCAGGCGACACTTCTCAAAAGGGGGCACGGCTGGCCCCATCCTCGTGACACTAACTCTCTTCGGCCGTGGGGTTAATCATGTTTCTTTCTGCTAATCATGTTTCTTTCTGCTTGTGTGCTCGCTCGGGGGAATCTTACAAGGTTGGAACTACGTGAACTCGCCACTTGCTATCTGCGCTGACATATCTCCGCGAACGCCGGCTCTTCGTCCGATCAAAGCCATCAACCGGGCGACAAACGAAAAGAAAGCCCCTGAAACTCACCAGTTGCTGAAACCCGAGCCCAGGACACCATGCTCGAGCCGAGTCACCGAAGCATCGATATTTCCGGATTCCAAGGTCGACTTGAAGCATGAACAACTGGGCTGCTGCTTGGTGGCTTTGGACTTCTTGCTAAAAGCTGTGCGTTGGCTAATTGCTTCTTGACTCTAGACTATCGAAAGAAAACCATTGGGCTTGGTGAGCTTCTGCTGGAATCGTTCATGCAGAGCAGTTTTGTAACCCAAAGCTTGCTCACTCATGCACAAAAGCTCATGCTCATACACGAGCAATGAAACAAACAATGCAAAGGACCGCAAAGTCTCACCGAGATCCTGACAGACAGTGATTTGGCCAACAATAGACAAGCAATTGACGTAAGCGCCGAAACCTTCCACACGGTGGCCACCTTAACCCACATGTGTCGCAGGTTGGAAAAGCTTTGACCAACATCATTCAGCCCCTGGCGACGTGGTAGGTTAGAGCCTGCAGCATCTGGTTCATGCCAACCTAAGCCGGGAACGGGGGGCAATGCAAAGAGGTGAAAAATTCTTGTTGACCTTTTGTTTTTGCCCTTGTTTTTTTGGGCCTGCGGGGGGTGGTGTGGAGTGCAGGGGGGGTACGGGGGGGGGGGGGGGGGGNNTTGATGAAATCTATCATATAGAAATTTTAATCTTCTTTGCAAGCATACGCTTTTTGAGCATGTTTTCAACGATGGGATAAAGTAGTATCGCCACTAAGTAAACACGGGTCTTGTAAGGGGCAAAAGGCTTTCCAGAAAAGCGCAAATGCTCCTGTATATAAAAACGGATGGTCGCCCAGATACATCGATTCCTTTGGTTTTTTTTCCAAAACCAGGAATTCCATCACATAATAATGAAATAGCCCCGTCTCGTGACATTTTTGATGCCTAAGCTCTTT